CCCCCCCCCCTTGGTTTTCAGCAAGGAGTAGGGGCTGCCGGGGAAAGAGAATACTAATTGTGTTCATTCTCCCACTTTAAGAAGGAAAGCAGTCCTGATTCGCACCTTTCACCTGCTCCCTCAGGCCTGGAACCTGTCACATCAGTCGCTCAGTGCTCTGCCCAGCGCTGTGTGCTGTGAAGGCCGTGAGGGTGCTTAGGCCAGTCTGCCCTCCCCCTGCTACTTCTCATCTTGTACATTATCTGACCTACTTAATAGCATGCAAGGATTATAATTATTGCATTACACTGTCCTCATTTACTAGTTATATGTGCTAATTTTAATTATGTGTAACAAATTATTGCCTTATTAGAGGTCATTCTTTGATAAAAAGGTAAGACTATTTGAAATTATAGCAAAGTATAGCATAACTGTTAACTTCTCGTTAGTTTAAAAGCTTGTTTTACACAAATACAAATTGAGTATTCCTTAAGATGTTTGGCTATAGAAGCATTTGGATTTTAAAGTTTTTCTGGATTTGGGAATATGTATTTACATATATATATATATATATATATGTATGTATGAATTACACATGCAGTGATATGTTCATTTATGTTTCATATCATCTTACATACATGGCTAGCAAGTAATTTCATACAACTTTGTTAGTGTTCCTGCATTTGGCTGCAGCTTGTCACATATGGGCAGGTATGAAATTATCCACTTACAATGCCATGTCAGTGCTTTTCAGATTTAGAGCATTTTGGATCTGAGATTTTTTTTTTTTAATTTTAAGAAAAATATGGTGTCTTTAATATCCTGTTAGCAGTGCTGAATATTAAGCAAAGCTTCGTTAACATCATAATCCTTCCCTGTGATTTAGTAAGATTTTAGCTTTTAACCTCAAAACAAAAGCTATTATAGAATACCTTATTTTAAAATTCACATTTTTGTGAAATTTCAATTTTTCACATTTACTTCCTCCTCTAGAGTAGAATTTGAATCCAGGTAATGCCAAGCCATTATAGGGAGCATGTTCAAGTTAAATTTTAGTGGTGATAAAATATATTAGTCATTTTATTAATTAATTCTATGAAGAGATTAGAGGTTTCATTATATCCTAGGAAATGTGGAGTATACATTTAAGTTTAAGGCTCTAATACCCAGTGTGATAAAATAGGTGTAACTTTGCTTTATTTGGGGTAGAATGTCTGAGCCTACAGCATTTTGAGTTTAATACAAAATAATCCAGCATAACCATATGAAAATGTCATCATAGTATAGTGAGTAATTTAAGTATTTGAACTGTTTTGGAATATTTTCTGCCTGTATGGTTAAAAATGTTCAGTTCTCCTTAAAGGTCGAATATGGGACTGGTAAGATAGCTCAGTGCTCTACAGCACCTGCTTAGGCAAGCTTAGGCAGAGTGCAGGGACTGCAGTACAACCACCAGCACCACATGCAGCGCCAGGCCGGCCGCCAGGGTGGGCTGAGTTACACACATACACACGAGTTTAATCGACACTTGAAATCATAATATCAATAAAACTATTTTAAAAAGGCAGAGTAATAGTACAAGTACAGAGATTGCTGATAATACCTCAGCTTTTACTCTCCACCTGCTTAACTCTGGTGGTGTTCATAGACTCTAGAGAAGCTCTTGAAATCCTTCATTTGCAGAGCTGAAAGGGAGTACAGAGTTCCTCACATCTAAAATTCTGGGGAAGCTATTTTGAAAGAACCAGAGATAGTGATAGCTTGTGATGCTATTTTTGGATAGTGACTTATCTAGTAACTATCTGAACTCTGTGTAGCAGGCGTTCCTATCTATAGCGCTCTGATGCGAGTTCTCTGTCATCTGTGTAGCAACTCTAGTCAACCTAACCTGGTATGTTGTCCAGCCCTGGCATGTTGTGCTATCTTCCCTTCACAGAGTGGCTGTATTTTTTGTGGAGACTTTTCATTTTAAATTATGTATGCAAGAGTGGAGGAGGCTGGTGAGATGGCTCAGTGGTCTAAAGCACCTACTTAGAACAAGCTAAGCTAAGCAAAGCACAGGGAACGCGGTTCAATCCCCCAGCACCACATGCCAGCCAGCCCCACCCCCTGGTGGGCTGAGCTGGCCACACAAATAATAAATAAACAAACAAATAATTTTTTTTAAAAAAGAGTGGAATTTGCATAATATATAACTTAGCACAGTTTTAACTATTTGCAATGGTAACTCAAAATTGCAAGAATTTTATTTTTATAGTCCATATTATGTTCTAAATAAACAAAACCAGGGCCGTCCTGATAGCTCAGTGGACTAAAGCACCTGCTTAGGCAGAGTGCACGGGTCAGGGTTCAATCCCTGGCTTGCCGTGCCGGCCCTGCCTCTGGGGCTTGCTGAGCTGGCACTCGAGGCTGGGTGTGGTGGCGTGCACCTATAATCCCAGTGCTTGGGAGGCTGAAAACAGGAGAATCACGACAAGTTGGACCTATGCAGTGAGACCCCATAGGCCCTATAGACCCTATCCTAAATACAGAAAAAATAAATAGATAAATAAATAAGACCAAGAAATATGTAGGCTTTCAATAATTATTATTTCCTATGGTCTTATTTGTCATTATTCAAAAAAGAAACAAACTAAAAGATTGAAAAGAAAAACATGTTGTTGGCGAAATTTTAAATGTTTTGGCACTTGGCATACATGATGCTATATTACTGTGTCATTCATCGAGTCTGTTCTAATCTAGGTTTTATCCACATAAGGATATTTAAAGTTTAGCAGGCTACTACTCAACTGAGTTAGGAAACATTATAGGGAAAATGTTCCTTTAGAGAGATAAAATATAGATACAGCTGGAAACACTGAAAGAAGCTGTAAGGCTTAATTTTGGGAGTGAACCATAAGGAAGTTGAGCTGTATAATTATGTTCAAAGAAAAAGAACTGCTCTGTGATTGGTGCAAGTTTGTATGGGGAAGAGGTATAATTAGAGCCAGTGCTTAAGAGGTGTGATGAAACCAGTGTTTACCTGCAGTACATCTTACATCCATTGTATTTAGCACCTGTGGGATCCAACAAGGGTTATCATATTTAGAAAGTCAATAGATAAATGGCATAAAGTCAGATTTTGTTATTAACTTTTTGAGTTTTCAAATTGAGAAAATGTCAAGTTCCAAACATCAAAAGCATCACTGCAGTCAGCATCTTCTAAGAAAGCATTTCCTGTGGTGTCTCCGTGGTGTAACGGAGGTCTGTAAAAGATCTCAAAGCATCAAGAGTAAGTGGCCAGAACAATTCAATAGCACTTACACCTTGTATTTTCTGTCACACAATAACACTATTTTGCATACAAATGGTTTCTCTGAATTCCTTCACCTTTTAAGTCGGTTGCTCTACAGTCCACATAAGAATCCACAAGCATCCCGTGCTCCTGCTCATTGTGTCAGTGAAATGAGTTACGGAATTCTCTTTCTGGAAAGTTTCCCAAGACAGTAGTAAGCGCTGTTACAATTGCGGTTCGTACTCTGCGAATTTCTCCTCGTCTGCACGCGCGGGTCAGCCAGCCACTGGCTCTCCTTCTGTAGCAGATAACCTGTTGTGTGATGACTTCAAGATGTGAGTGAGAGCCTGGACTTCGGCAGGCTCTACCTGAGGATGACTCAAGGCTATTTATTACTCGTTTCAGGAACAGCATCTGTTGCAGTGGCAGGTCTTCTTGCAGCTCTTCGAATAACCAAGAACAAACTATGTGATCAAACAGTACTATTCCAAGGAGCTGGAGAGGTACCTGCCTTGTACAATAGTTCTCCTAAACTAATGAACAGATAATTAGTTTTCTAAACATGCAAATTAGAGTTAACTATTAATTCAGGGTGAAAGTACGGTACAACAACTAACTCTAGGCTTTACTGGAGTCTCAAATGAGGTATTTAGGCATATTAATTTTTTATTGGAGACTTCACTATGGATGTATAAAGGTTTTTTCAAAGTTTAAAATTTGAGGATTATTGAATGTTGCCCTGTGTCTTTCTTACATATATTTAAGGTGTTCTGAAGGAAAAAATGTCCAATTATATATGAAAGCCTTGATGTACTTAAGTTATTATGTTGGGTGCTGGCTTTAAGTATCCTTCAGTGTCAGATTATTTTTTAAAAATTAGATTTCAATTTAATGTGCATATTTTTTTTAAGAAAAGTAAGATAAAAGAGGTACTATGTAATTGTTAATCAGATCATATAGAACTTGTGAAATCTTTGTCTTAGAGACTTTTGGTATACTGTAACTGCTTGTATGCAAAAACTGAAAACATTTTAAATTGTTGGAAACTGCAGCAAGATCAAGACCAAGTTATGCTGCTTCCTGTTATTGTTTATAGTCATTTGGAAGAAGGAAGCTAGACTCTAGCAACAGTAATGCACCCTCCAAGTAGAACTTAAAATGGTAGCTTTCTAGTGGGGAAAAATGTTAAGGTGTATATATAAATATCAAGATCTATATATAAAAATTATGCAATGCTCTAAATAGTGAAATATTTTGTAGCTAAGTATATAATTTATTAAAATTCTAAAGTTTGATTATATTTGAAAAACTAATGCAATTATATACAACATAGTATATTACTTTGGTTAGAAATTGTATACATTGTGTTTTTATTTTGCTTGTTCATTTTGCTTATGGGTAAATATAGGAGATTTAAACGATGTAATATGAATATATAAAAATATATAGAAAATAAGTATACAAAATATAAATATATAAAAATATCTGGAAGGTAAGTCACTTTTGCCTTGAAATACAAATCAGGCTGAAATAACATCTTTAACACTTGAGTTATTTTGCATAAAGCTACATACAAAGTGTGATCAAAACATATGGTACGTGCTTAAATTAGGAAAAATGTATGGCAGTAGAACACACATTGCCACTGATCTCCTCAAATTACTTTCCCATGCTTTGAAATGCTTATCCCATCCATCTTGCCACATTTATTTATGTATTTATTTATTTAATGTATTTAGTATAGGGTCCAGAGGGTCTCACTGCATAGGTCGGACTCGTGGTGATTCTCCTGTGGTCATCCTCCCAAGAGCTGGGATCACAGGCACGTGCCACCATGCCCAGTCTCAATTGTCAGCTCAGTGCGCCCGGGGGCGGGGCCAGCACGGCACAGCGAGGATCAGACCCCGGCCCCTGTACCTGCCTAAGCAAGGCGCTTTAGTTCACTGAGCTACATGGCCAGCCCTCTTGCCACTTTTAGAAGCAGCTCAGGAAGACCTCTTTTGTGACAGTCTTCAGGATATATGGGAGTCACGCAGCAGAAAGGTGGGCTTGTGAAACACTGTCCACTCAGTGCTTCACCATGTGACTTCTGGCTGCTCCCTAACGTCAGAATGACTAATAAAGATGAGTGTCTTCTGTCCATTCAGTGCATGGAGGTAACCATGACCACACAAATAAAGACACTCAAGAACAAAGACTTTCAGAACCGCTTCACAAAGCGGCAGAAACCATGAGATCAGTGTGTTTGAACCAAGGGGGAGGATTTCGAGCATGATTAGAGGCACTATGTCTTTTACCACAGTATTTTTTTTTAAAGTAAGCATTCGCCTCTTTTTTGATCATACTTTCTATATTTAATTTTAGTAGATCTCTGAATTGGCAAAGGTGCTTGATGAATGACCAGTGTTTGATACTGAGCAGGAAAGAAGTCAGTTTTGATGAGTCAAAAGTGGTACTTGTTCATTTCTGAAAAGATCCTGTGATTTCTATGCAGTAACACAAACTTCACCGAATACAAAGGAAGTTGATTTCTTTAATTGTGCAAGACATTTTATAGTACTGTCTTCATCTAAATTAAGAGAGTAAATCGATGCTATGTATTTTTTTTTCTTTTGTCAGTTTCATTCTTTTGCCTCATTGGGTATTCCTATCCAAATGAGCAGGCATTATTCTCAAATTCAATTAGAGGAGCTTTTACCTAACAGCGTTACAGTTCAGTAAGTAAGGTGTTTCAGTTAATTGTTTTCCTGTTGAGGCAAATCTTGATGGTATTAACAAAAGTAAAATACTGGCGCTGAATGTTATCACTTATCTATGGCTAAATAGCAAAACAGTAGTAGTGGTTTTGTGGTTGTTACAAGAGTAAATAATTGCCTTTTGGTTCAACTCAAATGTGACAAAAATACATTTCCCTCCACGTGAATGAATGAACACTTTTCCTAAGCTCCATAGAGAACCATTTTGTACTTCCTTACTAACAAGGTCAAAAAGGTAAAATGTAACTCTTGATAAGGCCGCGCAGGACACCTTGTGCAGTCTTGGTTTTCGTGACCTCTTTTGCAGGCTGCCTTAGGGATTGCACACCTGATTGTCATGGCCATGGAGAAGGAAGGTCTAGCCAAGGAGAAAGCGGTCAAAAAAATATGGCTGGTTGACTCAAAAGGATTGATAGTAAAGGTAAGAACTTGTCATTTTAACCAGAATTAAAAATCAGATTGCCATGTTGAATGACGTTTCTCAAAAACTGCTTCTGTTTTCACTACCCCGCTTTACATTGTGTGGGAAGATTAGCCACTGACATGAATAACGTACAGATATGTGAGCACTGATGTTCTCCTAAATTAAGAATACTGTGGCCCAGGAAATGTGTAATTAGACTTCTAAGAACTCTGTTACTTGTGATTCTACTTGAATTAACTTTAATTTCTGAACAAGGTAGTTTGGTAGAGACAAAACAGAACATCTTTTAGAGAGCTGGCAAACTTCACATTAGAGAAAGGAAAGAGGAAAAAAATCAAGTAGCTGTTCTTTAACCACAGCTTTCTGCCAACAGAATTCTAGAGGATTTGATAGGCAAGTTCTGGGCAGTGCGCTTTGATAAGTGGGCTGCTTGAATGTCAATTTACATATACTTCAGTTTGCCCAGCTTTAATAGAGATAATAGTATCTACGTTATCAGGTTGTGGAACTCAGTAAGATGAGGTGCGTATCTGATCATGTAACTACAGAGACATAAGGAATTGTCATTATTTCCACCACGTGTGCCTAGCACTCTTCCTTAAATTGCCAGAAGTAATACAGAAACGTCCCCTTTCTGTGTGAAGATAAATTTTAAGTATTAAACAATGATAGTGTTTTAAGGAATATAATATAGATATAAATGTCACTATCTTGACCTTCTCTGGGAATTGCTTTGTGTATATCCAGAGCTTCAAAAAAGTTTATGATTCTGAGCAAGTAGTTTTAATTCTCAGAATATCTCTTATAGAGATATATAGAATATATTATGAGAATGTTCTCACACCTTGGTAGTTATAGAAGTATATTGCCTAAATGAAGGTAATTAATAAATTGTAGAGTGGCCATATGAGTATAATACATCTGTTTATAAATGTTTTCAAAGAGCAATAAAGGATATATATTAAAGGATTCATAATATAATGCTATTTGAAAAAGCAATATGCCGTGTTCTATATAACATTTTATTTAAAAATATATCTGATAGCGATAGAAGAAAATATATCAAATTCAGATGACTTTAAAACTTTTATTACATTATTATCGTTATTTTTTGCTGTGCTTCCGATTGAGCCCGGCCCTCGTATATTGGGCAAGTGCTTCACTATTGAGCTAAATTTATATTATTTTGGTGCCATTTTGTGTGTTCCAAATATTTAGTGATTATGCTCCTTTAAAGCCAGAAGAAGTGTTTTAAAAAATTAGTGTGTTATAAAAGAAAATCGAATATGCATAACTTTTTGTAACAAATACATATAATCTCACATTATTGGCTGAAAAGTTGCCATTACTTTACAGAATCAGCCTAGCTGTAGAAATTATTGGTTGTGATCATGCAGTGCATGTTGTGGTTATAAAATAAGGACATTTCCTGCATGAAATTGTCTTGGGTCAGGTGTTGTCCTCAACTCTGGGACACAGTAAGACTCTGGCACTTCGGAACCTCACAGACTAATGGCAAAATCTCACACTCAAACCTCAACTCAGAAGAGGCTTTCGTACAGCTAACTGCACTAAAGAGAAGCGTGGAAACACTGAGGAAGATCCAGAGACAGGGTTTCTTAAATAACATTGGAAAGAAAGAATTCAAAATTAAGTGAAAATCTCTCTCTGCATTAACTTTATAGCTCTCTATACTGACTTTCCTATATCTCAGGCAGAAGATGGTGGAAAGTTCACTGAGCTTTGATCAAAGCGAAGGATCATGATTTTCTAAATCTTACATAATATCTAACGTATATCTGAAACCAATACTTGGTTAAATCAAGGAATTAATGAGTCGTTTTCCCGCCAAAAAACCTACCTGTGTGAAAGAAAATATTTTGATGTAAGGACATTGAAGGACTAGTTTGGAAAGGGAGCAAATGCTGAGTGTCACAGGATCTCTTCAGTCTTGAATATGACCAGTTAAAGGACGGTGTGCAGAGGGCTTTGCCTTAGGCAGTCCTTATAGCATTGTGGATCATGATTTAAAATAAGGGATCCGCAAAAAAGACTCTAGTTATAAAACTCTAGTAATGTTTCAGATAAAAATTAGTTGTGGTTTGACCATAGAATTGAGCAAGAGAAGCTTGGTTCAGTAGATAGTTAAGAAATACAGTTGGCATACTTGGTGATTAAATATGGAAGGAGTGGTACAAGGGTAGGGAGAGGTTGCCTAAGAAGCCATCTAGCCATAAAGTAAATGAAGAAAGAGCAGAGCACGAGTTTTAAGGGGGAAAGATAATGAGATCAGTCTTGTACAAAACGAGCTTAGGGTGTCTGTGGAGAGGTAAAGACAGAAGCGAGCTCTTGGCAGCAGAGCCTGCAGCCCTGCGGTCAGCAGGAGGGACCTGGGTTGGAAGGATGTGAGGAGTGGGCGTCAAGGAAATGAAGGCGAGCGTGTTGCCCATAGGGATTAAGACGTTCAAGAATCCAGGCGGGGGAGTCTATACTGGGGTTTTACTTCATGATTGCTAATGACATTCTAGGGTGAAATCATAGAAAAACATAGATTTTAGTGTCCCAGATTCTCAAATGTTTTTAACGTATATTTACTGCATTGAGGAATTCAAATCCTCAAAATAACTGTAGTGGTTGGCTAGACTCCAGTCAGGCATTCTTAGTCCCTGTCCTTGATTTGCCAAAATAAAGAAACATATATTATGCCTGCCAAGATAAAGTTACATTTCTAGAGGTCTTATATATTTAATAGCTTGTGTACTATTTCATATAAAGAGACATAGAAAGTTCACTTAATCAATTTTTTCACATTTTTAAACAGTCACAACCCTTATATTAGTATTTGTTTTGGAACCAATAAATCTCTAGAATAATTAGGAAACCAGTATAATCTTGCCTTCAAATTTACATGATTAGTTTGTGTTTATTACCCTTTGCCCCTATTGTTTTTACATTGCCTAAAATCCAATAATAATAATAATAATAATATCATTTATTTTTAGCTAAAAATATTTATAATATATGCAAAGTCTATAAAGTTTTAAGCAAAAGATTTTATTACTTTTTTCATTTTTACTTTATGGCTGGATGGCTTCTTAGGCAACCTCTACCCTATCCCTGTCCCACTCCTTTATTTTTGTTATTATGTGATACAGGCTCTCACTAAGCAGCTCAGACTTGTAGTGAGCCTCCTGTCTCTGCCTCCCCAGCTCTGGGATTACAGGCATGCACCACCACACCCGGTTTTGGTACTAGGGATTGACCCAGGTCCTTGTGCTTGTAGGCAGGCGCTTAGACCACTGAGCTATCTCCCCAGCCCACATTTTAAAGATATAAAACCAGAAAAGGAAAAAGTAAACTGCAGTCAGCTTGCATTTGGGATTTTACCACCATTAGACCACACAGTTATTATTCTAACTTTATTTTTTGATATATAATACTGCAACCTGAGCATATTCCATGACTTACCTCAAAACCCTATGTGCAATGAAAGTTTATGCTATAGCATGTCAAGATTTTAAATCATTATCAATATTAGTAGTTAAATAAAATCAACTTCTTGGTCACTAATGATATTCAGATATCTTCATTGTTTAATACCAGGAAATAGTTCATATATCATTGACAACTAATGTTAACACATTTTAAAAGTCGACAAGCCAGTATTTTGTGTAAAGTAACCTCCTAAGATAAGAATTAGAGGATGGAGAAAAGCAATAAAGAGAGGATAAAAGGCGCATTGCCAACATGACTAATATTTGCATTTCACAATGATGACTTTGAACCATTTTCAGAGAGGCCACAAAACAAGTCAATCCAGTCTTAATCTATTTCTTAAATAAATATATTTTGGTTTTGGCTGGTAATCCAAGGTAAGCGGAACACTCAAAACAAAAAGTAGGACCTTAGCAAATATCATGATGATAGGCTTTGTGTAATCCAGACCATAGACCTGTTATTTTGTTTTTTCTTTTCTTTTATTCTATTTTAAATCACTTATTTTATGATTTATAGTTAAATGTTTAACTCCTATAGAAAGAGATAGTAGTTAATACAAGTATCTAATATACTCTGAAGGTAGTTTTGGCAATACAGTTACTTTTTTACCAGAGAGGGTAATTTTTAAATCTAGTGCTCCTAATGTCAGGCTGTGTACAGAGTTGTTCTTTCCCTGTTGTTTTGTCAGAATTTGACAGTGGTTCTGCCACATGGGGCTTCGATTGATGGCCCATGCATTCTAGATGCTGTGGTTGAAGAAAGGAATTGTAACTCCTAGGAGACTTTGTAACTCCATGAGGACTGCCCAGCTTAGTCTCTCCCTCTTTGGCATTTTGCAGTGTATGTGATTGGTGCATATGCAGAGCTAGAGTGGAGAGAGACCAGAGATTGTACAGAGGGTACTTTAGATAGACATTTATAAATTTTGATGATTTATATGCAGAATTAGATATGAATAGAGTTCATCACCTTGTGTGCTAAGCCATAATTGTTCTGTACTCTTTGTTATACTTTTTCCCATCATGTCATTTACTTTCTTTTTCTCTCCTGAGGTGACAAAATATAATATTGACCAAAATATATGGTGAAGGACACATTGCTTTCAGTGCCCCTCAGAACACTCCCCCGTGTTTGGACACCCTTTATTCCTGTTCTCTTCTGTGTGTTTATGAGGTGCGATAGAAAGTACCGGGACTGCTCCTGCAAATGCCATTGAGTGGAAGGGCAGGCTCATAGAAATGAAGGATATTGCTACGTGCCCCACCAGACCTAGCACTGCGTGACATTGAGTGGAAGGGCAGGCTCATAGAAATGAAGGATGTCACC